ATACATTTTAATTATTGTATAGAGCAAAAGTCAGCAACCTGCTCTGGAGCCGCATGTGGCTCTTTCATCCCTCTGCTGCGGCTCCCTGTCACCGATCGGCTCCACCACTGATAGGGCTTTCAGTTAGGACAGGTAGAGGAAAAAGGATGCTGGGCTAGGAGGAAACTCTATGCTGGGGGATCCAGACTTCTGCTAGGCTCCAGAATTGAACGGGGGGCTTCCGGTTAGGACCTTTGTGGCTCTTTGAGTGTTTAAGGTTGCTGAACCCTGGTATAGAATGTATCCCACTGGTTCAAACATGCCAAATTAATGGGGAAGTCAGATTCCATGGATCCAGTTTGGTCGAGCGGTTCACGCAATAGTCTACCAAGCAGGAGATCGTGAGTTCTAGTCCTGCCTTAGGCATGAAAGCCAGTTGAGTGATCTTGGGCTAGTGACTCTCTCTTCCCAACTCACCTCACGGAGTTGTTGTTGTGGGGAAAAGAGAAGGAGGAAAGTGATAGGCTATGAAAAGTGTTTGAATATTAGTAGCTCAGGTTGGTAGTTAGGCTGTTGGTTTGAGCTTTGAGCTTGGCAATTTGATTGCAAATGTTTTGTCAACATTCAAGGAGACATTGTCGGTGCATTTTGAGTTGTGCTTGTTTGTGCCAATGACTCAGAAATATCTAAAAAAAATAGTCAGGCTAATTTGCATTTCATAAAACAGTATTTAAAGACCTGTGTTCTGACAGACGAGCACAACTCAAAAACGCACTGATGATGTCTCCTCGAACAGTGACGAAATGTTTGCAACCAAATTGCCAAGCTTGGAGCTCAAACCAACAGCCTAGTGTTATGATATGTTTACTACCTTGAGTTATTTGCAACGACAATAAAGGCAGGATACAAATAACTTTCCATATGTTTGCTTACTTGGGTTCAATTTATTCAATCAAATGCCTTAACCATCTATGATGTTCAGCATCTCAAAGAAGGTGATTTTGAAGGCTGCCTCCTACACTTTTTGGGCTCTCCAATGTATTAAGGCATGCATAACTTTCTCTTCAAACAATCTCAGTTCACTCCCTGCTAGTAACATTGCACATCATGCGCTGGATTGAAAGCGTCTGCTCCATTTTCTTGAAAAAACAAATAACCATTTGGACGGTGACCTCCTGGACCTAAATTATAAAGCTAACATTAATTTTTTTGGCAATGCCTTTACAAAGGAGACCAGGTCCATCTCAGAGGCGCGTCAAGAAGTGACACGTATTTGCAGCCCGTTATAAATCCACCTCTTCATGCTTTCCCAAAGTCTTTTTCAAAATCTGAAAAGCAAAAAATGAAAGAAGAAAAACCCAGAAGGGGAGGGGGGGAAAGAAAGGGGAAAAGAAACCAAGTCTTCAGAGGCAAGCCAAAGTAAAAGAGAACCCAAGAAATGCCATAACTTACTGTAGCTACTTTCGCTATCGCTGGCATTAGAAGAGAGATGCTCTGCAAGAACAGGACAGCAAATTAAAAGGAGAGATAGTCAAGCAGCAGGAACGTCAAGCAATCACCCCACTCATGCAATTGGCATGCAAAGGAAGAATCGGAAGCAACGGTGCGGTAAGTCAGCCAAAGAGTTTCCGAGAAACTTGAAAAGACATTTTCATTGGGCCGTACGCCGAGAAAGGCAGCATTGCCAGCGATGTACCTCAAGTATACAGCCGCCAAAGGAAGCGTTAGAGATGTCTTTGCAAAGACTTTGTTTCGCAAACATTTCTCAAATGTTTTCGAAGGCCGATGAGAAACCAAAGAGGGACGTCTGCCATGTGACATGACTCATATATGAGATGTACATGGACTTGCTAGCGATGTGGTGGGGCTGTCTACCTCTTTTGTGAAGGTACGTGCACGATTACCCTTGGGGAAAGAAGTGTGAGAAAGGGGTGACTCAGGAGGAGCAATGTAGAGAGCGGTCAATGAACTCTTTCCTCATCTACCACTATTCTTCTTTCATTGGTTGCCTTCTAAAATGTGTTTAACCACCGTGGCTGCTGTTTTCATTCTTGCTCCTTGCACAGTCGGCCAGATGTTCAGACTGGGTTTGGCATTGTGGTGCACCTATCGAGTCCTGACCAAGGACCTGGGATAGGCAGATCGGCATGTTTGATGAGGTTACAGATCTCATCGCAGGATGGAAGCCGTTCCAAGTAAAGCCGCCTTCTGCAATTGACTGAGGGCAAGTTTGTCAATGCCAATGGTGTTAAAAGGGGTGCTCCAGTTGTTTTGGGACTGCACCCAAGGCGCCTATGACTATTGGTACTATCCTTGCTTGCCTTTGCCACTCAATTGTCATTCTATTTCTATTTGTAAGTCTTTGTATTTTGTGATCTTCTCCAGTTCCTTCTCTCCTCTTCTGCTGTCTCCAGGCACTGCCAATCGACAGCTATGATGATGATTGCACAGTCATCCAGACGTTCAAACTGGATTTAGCATTTTTGTCTACCCATTGAGTCCTTACCAAGGAACTGGGATGGGTACATCTGGCTGTTTGATGGCGCTACGGATATCGTCGCAGGATATAAGCTGTTCCGAGTAAAGCTGCCTTCTGCAATTGACTGAGGGCAAATTTGTCAATGCCCATGGTGTTCAAGTGGTGCTCCAGATGTTTTTGTCTACTCACTGAGTCCTTTCCAAGGACTTGGGATAGGCAGATGTGGAGGTTTGAGGGTCATGCTGATGTCGTCACAGGATGGAAGCTGTTCCGAGTAAAGCCGCCTTTTGCAATTGACCGGATCTGTCAATAGCGATGGTATTCAGGTAGTGCTCTAGATCTTTGGGATTGGATCCCAGGCGTCTATGATTATTGGTCCTACCTTGGCTTACTTCCACCACAGTCATTCTATTTCTATTTGCAGGTCTTTATATGATGTGGTCTCTTCCAGTTCTTTGTATTCTGCTGTCTCCAGGTATCGTGGCAATACTGTTGTTGTTGTTATTATTATAAGTAGCAAGAGTGGTCAAAGTTGTATTGTTATCTAGGTAGGTCTTTGATATTATACAATATAGAGGGAGTCCTCAAATTGCAACCTTTCAGTTTGTGATTTCAAAGTTACAACGGCACTGAAAAGAGTGACTTATGACCGTTTTTCATACTTACGACCATTGCAGCATCTCCACGGTCGCTCTGATGCTCAGTAACTGGCTCATATTTATGACGGTCGTAGGGTCCCATGATCACGTGATCCCCCTTTGGCAACCATCCGATGAGACAAGTTACTAGCTTAACAGCCGCAGTGATTCACTTAACAACTTTGGCACGAAAGGACTTAAAAAAACGGGGCATAACTCACTTAACAGCTGTCTTGCTTAGCGGCAGAAATGTTGGGCTCCATTGTAATCGGACGACAAGGACTACCTGTGCACAAAAAGTTTCACACAAAGAGCGACATTGGAAGAGTTGGGCCATTTTTCTTTAGCTTCCCCACTTCATCGAGAAAAAAGCTCGGGGGAATCTTAAAACTGGTTATATTTCATGGTGAATCACGGACTGGGTTCTATTAAATCAGTAGGAACCAGGGGTGGGATTCAGCCGGTTCGGACGAACTGGATGCTAATTTTATATCTAGTTCCCCGAAACAGTAGGTGCAAGGACTGGCTGGCCACTCCCCTCCCCGGAGTCTCCACGCAGCCCGATTTGGATGGCAGATAAGCACAGGGCCCGGGCGGAGGCAAAAAACGGATCTCCCAGAAGTTCTGGAAGTCCGGAAACGGGCCCGTTTCCTGCCTCTGGAGCCTGGGTGAGGTCATTTTTGCCCTCCTTGGAGGCTCGAGGAAAGCCCCCAGAGCATGGGGAGGGTGAAAACATTCCCCCCTGGTGATGCAGGAGGCTGAGCAGGCCGCATCCATCCAGCAACGGGCAGAGAACCGGTTGCTAAAATTTTTGAACCCCACCCCTGGTAGGGATAGCACTAGCACTAGCAGTTAGACTTATATACCGCTTCATAGGGCTTTCAGCCCTCTCTAAGCGGTTTACAGAGTCAGCATATCGCCCCCAACAATCCAGGTCCTCATTTCACCCACCTCGGAAGGATGGAAGGCTGAGTCAACCCTGAGCCGGTGAGATTTGAACAGCCAAACTGCAGATAACAGTCAGCTGAAGTGGCTGCAGTACAGCACTCTAACCACTGTGCCACCTCGGCTTATACTAGATTGCGTTTTCCAGGGTGACTGTTAGCAATCAAGAGGCAAAATGTTCTATTTTACAGACTCATGGAAATTACATATGGAAATTATTCTCACATTTCCATTCCGTCAGCTTTAAATTCCCAGGTAGGTGGCCAGATGAAAACCTGGCATGTGGAAACAGGCTTAGCCCTGGCGATCTCCCACTGAGGTTTAAATTGGAAAGTACAAGGGGTTTTTCTTGTTCTCACAATCGTTCATTTAGTCCTGTAGGCTTCCCAGGTAGTCCTGCATTTATGACCACAATCGCGCTCAAAATTGCGGCTAAGCGCCATTTCCCCCCCTTTCTTGCAAGTTTGCGTTGCTGTTTAAGCAGGTAATTCTTGATCTGCTATCCCAATTGACCCCAACATTCCCTTTGCTGAAACATTTGTTAAGTGAGTTTTGCCCCGTTTTATGACCTTTCCTGCCACCGTTGTTAAGTGAATCCCTGCCGTTGTTTAGCTAGTAACAAGGTTGTTAAGCGATTCTGGCTTCCCCATTCACTTCCCTCAACAGAAGGTTGCAAAAGGGGATCATCACGTGACCCCGGGACACAGCAACCGTCATAAGTACGAGTCAGGTGCCAAGGGCCCGAATTTTGACCACGGGCCCGTGAGGATGCTCAACAGTGAAAAATGGTCATAAGCACTTTTTTTTCAGTGCCATTGTAACATCCAATGGCCACTAAATGAATCACTGTAAGTCGAGAACTACCTGACATTGTTCTACCTATTTCAGTGATGGTTCACCTTTTTCTAAGGGGATGGCTTAGAATGCACACCCATCTGCGCAGGCGCGAACGCCCCCTCACTGCGTATGCGTGAGAGACCCCACCTGCGCATACGCAAGTGATCCCCACCACCACACATGTGCGAGCGTCCCCCCCCCGCGCGGCTGGGAGGGGAATTTTCATCTTCCACAGGCTCCGGAGGCTTTCCTGAAGTCTGGGGAGGGCGAAAATGGCCTCCCCCAGCCCGCCCTAGGCTTCAGGACAGCCCCTGGAACCTGGGAAGGGTGAAAAACAGGCCCAATGGGCCAACCGGAAGTTTAGGAATGAACTTCCAGTTGGGCCTTTGGGCCTGTTTTTTCACCCTCTCTAGCAATAGCAATAGCAGTTAGACTTATATACCGCTTCATAGGGCTTTCAGCCCTCTCTAAGCGGTTTACAGAGTCAGCATATCGCCC